CCGCGCGAAGTGTGCTAAGGGAAGGTGTACGCAAGAAGTCTGCAAACCCATCCACCTCCCGTATGTCGTTCAAGATCCTGGTCCAATTCTCGGAGAGAATGCGATGGTCCCGCAGCCGACTATCAATCTGAATATTTGATACTTGAGACGGGCTATTGATGGAAGTGGGAGGGAAAACGGTGAATCTCTGCTGCAGAGCCAGGGCGGTGTGCTCAAGCTCCGCGCTAGCGGTCCGAAACTGATCAGCTAGGGATGTGTTGACTGCTCGGAGATCATCGATAGGATGCCGATAGCCACGCATCCTCGACCACAGCATGGTGCGGCCCTGCTCCAAGAGCTCGATAGCAGTATCCAACCGTCCATCTTCAATGGCTGACGCCGCGGCCTCGGAGGCGAGCAGTCGGAATGGAATTTCACGAAGAAATTCTTGCTGCGCTTCGACAGTCTCCTTCGTGAGCAGTCGAAGTTCCAAGAGGGCGAGCAATCGTGAAAACGCTTTGATCATGGAAGGGTGCTTATGTGCGCGGGCTGCACGGACCCAGCGCAATGCAGCATTGAACTGTGTGTGGGAGTTGGCAGAAGGATTGTTTGACGCGCTCTGAAGCAGATAAAACGCAACAGGAACGAGTGTTTCCGACGTAGGAGTGATCTTCAGATATGCTAGAGCGAGCCCAGACTCGAGGGTTGGCCGTGAGGGGTGCGTGGGGCTGATCGTTTGGTTGGCCTTCGAATAATGGGCAATCGCCGCGTCTAAGTCTGTCCTGTCGTCTGAAATTTCAAAGAGCTCTGAGAGCGCAGTACCGAGGTTGGCCTGAAACATCCCGTGGTCGTAGCTGCTTTCAGGACATAAAGCCACAGCCGCTTGTTGGAGCTGGATTGACTCCTCCAGATCCGACCGCTGTCGGCTCTGTAGGAATCGATCGTGCAGTAAAGTCCCGAGATATTCTTGTGACTTGCAGTGGTCGATGCTTCCAGCGGAATAGAGAGGAAGAGCATCGCGAGCGTACCGGATAGCGCGCTCCAAATATATGATATCCCGTGTCTGCGACCAGGATCTCATCGAGCAAACCATCGCAGTTCGTAGGCACCGCTCGCGTTTCGGATGGCCCGAAGGACACAGGGAAAGTGCACGAGTCGAGAGTCGATTGGATTCTATCATGTCGTTCTCTTCCCCGAAGAGCTCAAATCGAGCTGAGAGCATGAGCGCAAGGTTCATTGTCGGCAAATTCTCCTCCGGATGTGATGGGGGGCACAGAGAAAGTGATTGGCGACCATGAGAGATGGCGTTTTCAAGGTACTCCATCTTTCCGAAGTGCTCGAAGAGATCAGCCATAACGCCAGCGAGATTGGCGAAAGTCATGAATTTGCCAGGGTCACCCTTCGGAGACTTGTCCAATGCCTGCAGGCCGCACTTTTCCGCCTCCAGTAGATCGTTTGGGTCCTGAAGGCGGTAATAACGAGAACGATAAATCGTCAGCATATTTCCCAGCGTCAAAAACGCGCTGGAACCGAGGAGCGGTACGGCATCCAGGCAGTGTTGAAGTGCTTTCTCGAGGTCATCAACTTCGCCACAGTGTTCGAACCGGCGCATATACGACACCCCGAGAGTGTGAAGAGGACCAGCGGAGTCATAGGGAGTGGATCCCGATCTGCACAGATCAAGCGCCTCCTCGCCGTATTCGATGGAGCGTTGGATATCCGCTTCTTCCTTCCGCATCTCGAAGCGCAGGCGGGTTGCAACAGCGAGTGATTTGAGTGGAGCATGGCGGTTTATGTCTCCAGGCGATTGGAGTCGAAGGGAGGTCTCACAGAGCGAGATGGCCTCTTCCAAGAAGTCCGGATTGTTATGCGATTGAAATCGCATCAAGAGATGGGAGCCTAAAGTCTGAGAGGCAAGGGCGTGGTGTAAGTGCCCGTTGGGGCAAAGGCGAATAAATTCGCGACAGCGGTTCTCGGCGTCGTCGAGGTATTTTGATTGTCCAAAGTATTGATAGTGAGTCTCGAGATAAAGGATGTATTTCTGGAGGACCCAGGGACGAAAATCATCGCCCGGTCGAGTCAGATCCAATGCTCGGCGAGTGATTTCCACTGCATCTGCAATATCGTGACCCTGGCCGAGAAGTTCGAAGCGAAGATAACTGCTTGTCGCTACGTGCTCGTGCGCAGTTAATGCAACTGCGAGAATTGGCGGAGGGCAGGTCAGACCGCCACGGCTGTAGACTATGGCCATGACCAAGTCCTCCATCCGGCGGAGCTTCTCGAAACGGAGAATGAATGCTTCCGCCAGAGCGTTCAAGGTGAGTCCTGGGTCGAGGCCTTGGGAACGCAGAGCGAGCACCCGTCGATGGCAAAGTATTCCCTCGTCAAGGTCAGGAATCTGGCCCTGGAGCTTGAATCGTTGGACCAGGCAATTGCCACTACAGATTACAGGCCGCAGTCTGGAACGGGAGGGGGAGGGTTCGAAACGCTACCGCCTCACGACTATATCGCGTGGCTTCGCTGAAGGCCAGTGAGTTTCCGGTTCGCAGATAGGACGCGAACAGCTGCGACCCTGCGATTATAAGATTCTTGGGTCGCTCGGAATGGCCAGGTGGACACAGCGCTAGCTTTCGAAGGGATTCAGGCAACCAGATCATCGACATTTGTGGTCGTCTGCATGGCAGGAATGAGAGAATGATAATATTTGAAGCAGAGCGGATAATTACCATGTGAGTGGACTGGAGTGAAACGGAATGCAGTCAAAGAGCAGAATGGTTAGGTGAAATCTGAAACCGCCATTGCTCAGTAGGTTTCCTCAGCCTGGTGAGAAGCTGCTCGCTTTACCTCAAAATTCAGGCGCACTCGCGGGGAGGATTGCAAGGTGTCCGAGACTTGGGCAGCGGACAACAGCGCAATGGCTGTTCCTGTCACTCGGCGCTGTCGCGCTGTTCACGGAGTCGGTTGAAACCAAATCGGCGTTGTTGGTTGACCGAGGCGCGGTCTCGTGACGAGGGTGACGCGTCGCTGCCAGACTCTGGCCAAACCTGTGTCAACAGCAGCACAGCCTTGTGCTTCTTTCTCTTTGCACCATCGCACGGCCGAAAGGCTAATTCCCACTACAAAATCCTTCAAGCCTGACTGTAGGCCCAGAGGCCGTCTCCCCTCTGCGTCATCGGCGTCAAGAACCCGCAAACTAGGGTTTCTGTCAAGTTAAATTGTGTCGGACCTGAAAATGCTGGCCAGGTTCGTCGCTCGTTCGTCGTCCTCCCGTGATTCTACCTCAGCTCGTCTTGCTTCAAGGCTCCAGCTCTGTACTGCGTGTGCGGCCGCCGACCATCTCTCTGCCTCACGCAAAAGCCACACGAACCCGGTCCTCCATCGATAGCATGGAAGACTCGGACCTCAGTACTCCCCTCTTCCCAGACACACCGAACGGCTCTGGTGGTCGCCGACTCAAATACACTCCCACCATTGCCCTGATTCCATCGATAAACTGGATGCGGGAATTTTCCTTACCAAGGCGCGATCGTGATCTAACGTACACTGAGATTGGACACTCACGATCGGGGTTGGTCCCAGCAGCTTGGCCTAAAAACCTCTCCCATGGTCTCGGTCTCGTCCCTCCGCTGATCCGTCATCTCCTAATTTTCACTTTCGACCGCCGAGTTACATTTCATGGAAATCCATCCGCAGCCTGTACGTCTATCCTGCGCCGTGGTTTTGTACACCGATCTGGCAGGCACACAAGCGGGCTCCATGCCGGCATTTAATTATCGACTCTCCCTCGATGCGCATTGAAATCGATCGTGATCGCGATGCGATATACGATCCTGATTCCCCGCATTTTCGCGTCGTGTCGCGGGAGGCGCCGGTCCCGCGTTCTTGACATTCTGCGAATGCGGGGTGATCCGTCGCAATCAGCGCGCAGCGCCCACAAGCTATCTGCAATTTCGCCCTTGGACGCGCGAACCTCGGAACTCGCCGTTGGAACTACCCTAGAAGCGTCGGGGCGCGCGCCGGTCGTTAAAAATACCGTACTGCAGATGCATCTTTGCTTCGGACACGCTGCCACGGGTTAGTCGAACCGTTTATTGCTATTCGCATATCGTTTGCCAACGCAACACGCATCCACGTTCGTCGGAGTACAGACCTCGTAATCAACCGATGTCCCGCCGCGCCAGACTGGAGTTGCTTTAACACTAATTTCGCCCTGGTCTCGACGCGCATCGACCTCGGTTTTCACAGACGCAGCTTCTGTTTCACACTCGAAATCACATTTCAGCGCGGACGCCCGAGGCCGGGTGAGTGGGAGCCCGTAAGAGTGAAGGGAAGTAATGCCAGTGTGCTCCGGCTTTAGCACCACTCGGCTCCCTGGTCTGGAGTCGGAAGTTCTGGGGGTGTTAAGCGAGTCAGTCCCACTGGAGTGGAAGCTCAATGTGCTGTCAACGCCACACCACGCCCTTGCCTGCGGTAAGAGGGCTAGGGCTAGTGTATGAATGGATTCCTCAGGCTGCGCCAGCCATTCACAGTCAGGTTTAGCGAGATATCGGCATTGCGCGAAATTAAAAGATGAATTAGGAATATATCCTCTTCAGGTGTGGAGGAACAAGATACTGTTCCGGTGTGGATGAATAAGGTCGTATTGGGTCTTACGCTTCCGAACGATGATGCTCGTGTGCGTTGATACCATGATCAATTTGGCAGAATATGGGATAATCTGCCGGGATACTAGGTTCCTTCTTGAATGGCGTTAATTCCGGGTTCCTCCAGTCTCGGTCTCCCCTTTATCTTCGGCTCGAACTCAAGATCAATCCGCCGGTCCGACCACGTTCTCATCTTGGCTCTCACCTTCCTAGGCCTCAATATGTTTTTCTGCTTTATTACCAAAAATTTCCTTCCTGCACCTTCCTCGCTCTTTCCTTTTCTCGTGCGGATGCGAAGGTCCCAACGGGCAAAACGGTCAAAACATACGAGACCGGACTGGTTCTGGGGTTGAGGGAAGGGAGGCGCCCGAATTCAACGGGCTCTTGGCGCAGCTGGTAGCGCGTTCGCTTCGCATAGTGACTTGTGTGCGAAAGGTCGTTGGTTCGATTCCTACAGTGTCCATTTCCTTTTGCCTTGGCGCGGATTCCACTCCCATCTGCCGAAATTTCCGATGGGCGTCAATCGCGTCTTATTTTTTGGCGAGTCGCGAGTAATTTTTCGCAATCGCGAGTAATTTCTGGCGACTCGCGAGTAATTTTCCAAATCGCGAGTAATTTCTCGCGATTCGCGGGTAATTACTTTTCTCGCGATTCGCGGGTAATATCTCGCGATTCTGTTGCGATGGTGATGGGAAAAGAGCGGAGTTATTTTTGGAAGGCGCTTATTTTGGGAAAAACATCAAGTTGGTTTTCGCGCCCGCGTCATCGTTGGTTTTCGCGCCCCGCGTCATCGGCTACAAGTTGGTTTTCGCGCCGTGCTTTGGCTAGTTGGTTTTCACGCCTAGGTGGCTCGGCTATCACGCGAGTTGGTTTTCGCGCCTTGCTCGCCTAGTTGGTTTTCGCGCCTGCCTAGCTGCTTTTCACGCTGCAGTTGGTTTCTACGCCAGCTAACTGTCCACACTGGTTCAGCCACTTTTGACTCTCCGCAACGTGGCATCCACATCGGGACAATTTTCCGCATGATTTACGCCACATCACTCTTCCTTTCCGCCCACCATCGCCCTTCCTCCATCGTGCCTCGCCATGCCCGGGATCAATTCTCTTGCGCCCACTGTCTCTCTGAAGCGCTGCAAGGGCCCCCGGTGTCGCCCTGGCTCGGCGTCAGCGAACCCTCCCAAGAAGCATCACCACACGACGTGCAAGAAGGGCGACACCGCACTGCACGCGCCGCATGTTTACCAAACCCGACACTCGCTCCACTGCCGCGCGACCGCTCCCACCTCCGGCCACTGCCATCGAGACGAAACGCGAATACTGCGCCCATTGCCCGCAGCCACCCCCAGCAGATCGAGGCCGGTCCCGAGAACAAGAGTACAGTCCCTTCGTCGCGTGTCGCCGGTTTCTTTTTCTCGTCGCCGCCCGCCGCTTCTGTCGAGTTATTGGACACTGCCGCGCGACCGCTCCCACCTCCGGTCACTGCCATCGAGACGAAACGCGAATACTACGCCCATTGCTGCCGCAGCCACCGCCCAGCAGATTGACGAAGCCCTCGCGACACCGCTTCCCCCGTCCCGAGAACAGGCGTGTCGCCGGTTTCTTTCTCCGTCGCCGCCGTCGAGTTATCGAATTGTACGATACGCCAAATCATCAGTCGAGGTCGCGATGATGTCTACACTCCTACCACTTACCTAGTGTTCATCGTGCATACAAAAAATTCAGACAAGTTACCGGCTGCTTACTGAAACGTCCCGTACAGAATGGACTTGAAGTTGGTTGACTGATGCGAAGAATTGAGCGAAAATACTTGGCCACCACTGTTGGTTTTACACCTGAACACTGTCCGGGGCGCGAAAACCAACTCGAGACGACTTGTTGCGACTTGGGACGCGGTCACGGCCTCGTCGCACGAACACTGATACTAGCTCGGCCCTGGAACACTGGCACCGATGGGAATCAAACTGGTTTCACATCTTTGCGTGGCCGCTAACCATACCGAGTGTTACTCTAAAATACTTGGCACCTATACCCGCTTCAAAATTGCGCTTTGGCAGCATCTTGGTTCTCACGTCTTATTCGGCCTCTGTTGGTCAGAAAATACTTTGGTCTCCACGCAGTTCGGTTTACTTGACTTGCAAGTGCACCATACCCGCTTTGCGGAAACTTGGCGCGTGACTTGGCCTGTGAACTTGGTGCCTCGACAGTTGAAAACTTGGCCTGCGACTCTATTGGTTTGCAGAAAATACTTTGTTTCTGTTGTTTCAATGCAGTTCGGTTTCACTTGGCCTCTGTGGTCTGCAGAGAATACTTGACTTGCAAGTGCGCAAAAAACTTGGCGCCTCAACTTGGTGCGAGAATACTTGGGCTGTGATCTGCAGGAAATACTTGGTCTTGCAGTTAAACTTGGCCGGTGTTTGTTTGTTTCCGCACCAGTCTTGCGCTTGACTGCCGCAGACAGCTTGGTTTGCAGATCTTTCTTGCTCTTGGCGCCTCAACTTGGCTTGTGTGGCCTCTGTGGTTACTTGACTTGCAAGTGCACCACACCCGCAAAAAAACTTGACGCCAAATACTTGCCCGCAGTTGGGGCGGAAAAACCAAATATCTGGCGGAATGAAAGTCGCTTGAAGAGAAATGTTGGCTGGTACACCAAAATGGGCCACAGCCGAGTGCAAAAAAGTTTCTATGTGATTGACTACCCGGGCCCGATTTGAACGGGCGACCGTTGCAAGTTGAGGATGCAATCATTGCAATTAACATGGTTGTGCACCAGCATCACGGGGTTGAATGTACTGGCAACACTCTTTTTTCATGTCGGGTGGGGTCTCTGAAGAAATAATTTGACGAGTTGGCGGGCAAGAAAACAAGAAAACAAAAAAGGACCCCGTGCCTGAATTGAACAGGCAACTGTTGAAGAAACAATACCCCGAGTCAAGGATCACAGATGTTGCACCAACACTACGGGGAACGGGGAGTTGGTGGTGCATCAGGCTGAACCAGAGCTTGCTGTGTGAAAAATACTTTTACCCATATTCGCTGCACGAAAAAATACTTTCACCACTTGCTCCGAGTCTGCAAAATACTTTGGTCCCCATGGACGCCATTGGGGCCCGTTGCAAAAGTGCCTTGACCCGAAAAAAAAGGGTGACACTCAATGTTCCTTTATACCCCGCACCCGAATTGAACGGGCGACTGTTGTGTATGTGCAATGGTCCTGACAAGATACAGTTGCGCACCAGCGACACGGGGGATTCCTGGTACTGGCTTGCATCATGGTTTGCTCTGCGAAATACTTGCACCCATACTCACCCTATGGACAGCATTGGGACCAGGAAAAAAGGGTGCAGGTCAATGTTCTCGTATAGCCTGCGCCCGAATCGAACGGCAGCCTGCGAGGCAAATACAAATTTGCCATTGGGCACAGTTGCACACCAGCACCACGGGGTTGTGCAGTGGTAATAGAGTGCACGCCTGTGGTCTGCAGGAAATACTTGGCCTGCGGACCATACCCGCTTTGACTTTTGGCCTGTGCCGAGAAAATACTCGGCCTCTTGACTTGCAAGTGCACGACGCCAAATACCGCAGTCGGGGCGGAAAAACCAACCTGGGCACCTTGTGAAAAAAACTTGGAGAAAAAACTTGGCGACAAAAACTTGGCGCCTTGGCCCCGAAAGACTTGTCCAAAAACTTGATGCCCCGACACTTGGCGAAAAACTTGGCGGAAAAACCAACCTTGGCACCTTGTGAAAAAAACTTGGCTACTGACATCCGCCCTGGCCCCAAAAACCTTGGGGAAAAAACTTGTCCAAAAAACTTGATGCCCCGACACTTGGGAAAAAACTTGGCGGAAATTTTTACTTGCCCGCAGTCGGGGCGGAAAAACCAACCTTGGCACCTTGTGAAAAAAACTTTTGGCTACCGGTCTGGAAACACTTGACATCCGAGTTGGGTTTTGCACCCTGGCCTCAAAAAACTTGCGGGACAAAACTTGTCCAAAAAACTTGACACCCCGACACTTGGGAAAAAACTTGGCGGAAATGTTTACTTGCCCGCAGTCGCGGCGGAAAAACCAACCTTGGCACCTTGTGAAAAAAACTTGGCTACTGACATCCGCCCTGGCCCCAAAAACCTTGGGGAAAAAACTTGTCCAAAAAACTTGATGCCCCGACACTTGGGAAAAAACTTGGCGGAAATTTTTACTTGCCCGCAGTCGGGGCGGAAAAACCAACCTTGGCACCTTGTGAAAAAAAAGGGCGGAAAAAATTAGACTTGAAAAAACACGAGTAAAAAAATTGGTGCCCCAACCCTTGGCCCCGAAAAACTCGCGGCAAAACTTGCCCCCAAAAAATTCGACTCGGAAAAAACTTGAGGAAAAAAATTGATGCCCCGACACTTGCCCCGAAAAGCTTGTGAAAAAAGTCGTCCCCATACCCGCTTCGCGGAACCCACTTGGCCCCTTGACGCACCCATACCCGCTCCGCGGAACACACTTGGCCCCTTGACGCGCACCCATACTCGCTCCGCGAAAAACACTGTGGCCCCCATACTCGCTCCGCGAAAAACACCCCCATACTCGCTCCGCGAAAAATACCCCATACTCGCTTCGCGAAAAATACTTGCCCCCAACAACCTCGCTCCGCTCGGTGTTGGGGCGGAGGCTTTAGGACAGAGGTGCTGGGTTCAATTCCCAGTTTGTCCATTCCTTTTTTCCATCGTTCTAACCTCAGGAACCATCTGTTTCAGAATTACGACCAAGTCCGAAAATGCCTCTGAAACGCCTTCAATATTGCTCTAATTGCTCTCGAACCTGGCTAGAGTTGTTCGTAGGACTCCAGAGTACACGGCCTGATTTTTGCAGAATTATTGGATAAGAGGGAGCGCGGGGGGAGGGCTTTTGGTTGCGCATCAGGAAATGATGGGATCAAGGTTCGCAGCCGCTTTTGGAAGGACGGAAAATCATCCGGGCCGAAGACCGTTGCTTGCAGGAGCTCACGCGCGTCGCGGACTATGGAAGAGCCAACGGAACAGGGGTTGAGGATCCACTCGGAAGGAACACGCTCTTTTTTTTCTACCGGGGAAGGGTTTGTTCAAAGTCGTTGGTAGAAGTTTTTTCTTGGTAAGGCCTGTGGTTAAATTTTCTTGTTGAAGTTCAAACTCATGCTTGTTCCTCACCGACGCGGCTTCCACGCTTAGGTTGCTAGCTCGGAATGGACTCGGAGGCAAATTGAAAAATCAACAATGTGAATGATTGATGTATTCCATGCGGGGGTCGGACGGTCGGTGCGGACCTCCGTACGCGTGTTCGAATTCCGAATTCCTCGTTCAATTCGAATTCGAAACATAAGTGCCAAGCGGGCAGGGTTTGACCTTCGCTCGGCAAGCTTTGACCTCGGCTGACTCGGGACGAAGATCAGCTCGCAAGTTCGGTTATTTTCAGTTGGGGCATTCAATTTACCAAGGCGTACGAAG